TTGGCGATTTGATATGTTTCATCGCTATCACTGGTCTAGAACGTCCAAGCGATGACAAACAGGGACCAAAGGCACAGACCATCGCAGGAAAAAAACAATGCGAACTTACAAAAACAACCGCCAGAGATGGGTATAAAGCCAAGGGCACCCACAACCAAACGCAGAACTCAATCGACATAGACACTGATGTCAGTGTTTTTATGGATATTAGGCGGTGCCTTTTTCCCCCTACACCGGTCAACCCGGCGTCGGTCAACGCGACCGAGACGGCGAGGAGGGACCGTCGTCGCCGTAGGAGGGACCGTCTGGTAGCGTGAGGAGGGACCAACAGACCGAAGAACGAAAACCAAATCATTCCTGATACCTAGAAGTCCAGTTCGACGATATTTTGACCGGCTGAAGTTTGTTGGATGTTCCCAGACTCAGTTCCCTTAGTCAGACCGTTCTTTTTAATAGTGGACTGGACTCCCAGAAAAATAGTGATGCGGAGACCGTTCATTCAGACACGTAACGAATTGAGTGATTGAAGAGATTGGAACATTGGAAAGAGATCCATCTTTGCAACTTGCAACAGAAAGTAGTTGAACAAAGCGATCCCAACACCAGCTACTGCCTCGACCAGATCGGTGATGCACAGTGGCGTTGGCGTGCTCAAGACCAGATGCCAAAGTTTCGACTAAAAGATCTCCTGTATATAATATAGATGATCATGATCGAACCCTCTTTCGCAAAGCCATTCAGAAGGAATGGAAGAGCAACCTTGCAGCAGGTGCGATTGAGGTAATCAACCAAATGCTAAGCAGCCAAGATTCGCCCGACGCAGACACTCAATCATCCAGAGTCATTTGTTTCATGTAGCCAAGCCATTTGACGATCTCAAACAACTTTGATTCCAAGGAAATTCGCAACCACGATGGTGAAAGCCAACCAAGAGAAGGAAAGAAACATCAAGACAGATTTTTCATGCTGACAATGATCCACGTGAGTTCAAATTCGAAACCCCTGCGCCAAATCATCTCGCGAGATACGATGTACATTGGTTTTCAGGTAATAGCCTCTTTTCACCGGAAAAATCATTGTGCAAATCGTGACGAACTACTACACAGCAAATTTCCTTAGAGTGGCTAGAAACTCATGGGAGCTTTGGACAGACCACACATAAATCTTCGACCGGAGTTGTGTTCCGCCTTCTCTGTTTCTACTGTCGTCTCCTGCTTTGTGTCCCCATAGTCTCCCTGTCGATTTGCGGAGTGTTCCGTGTGCTGCTTCAGTAATTGGGAGCGGCCCGCGGACACTTGGACATTGGCAACCTGAACTTGGCAACTTACCCTGTGTTCAGGAATACGTGGGCTCAGAAGAGGCAAGCACCCTGCTCCCGAAAAATAAATATGGTTGGGGGGACACGTGCCCCATGGAAACCCATATATCATATAGTGTAAAAGAATCTATGGGTTCCAAGCTGCTTATCCAAATAATTTTGGTTGATAGGTCGTGATGGTCAAGTAACGATTGACTTACGCCTTGGAGAACTCTGATTGCAGTTCATTGCAGTTCACACATCGCCTGTCATGTCAGTGGTGATGTTCGCTTCACTTTGGCGATTCTCCGGCCCTTGAGTCACACAAGGCACGAACCCAGAAACCGAACGGCGTCGTGCGACGCCCATCGCTCGCTGGTAGCGGAACACAAGACGCTCCAAGTTGCCATCATCGTGGCCGTGGCCGATTTGATTTGTTGGTGTCTCTGTGGTTTTCCGACAACTGTTCGGTTCAGCCGAGGGCATCCATCGCAGTATTTTGACAGGCGTTGGTTGTGGTGGACAATATGTCGACTACGTTGGCCAATTTGGACATTCTTTTTGTGGTGGTTCGTCGTTCGGACAACGCCCACGGCATATTCCAGTGGAGGGTTTCGATAGCAACGCTGAGGCTTTGACAAGGTGAAAGCCGAACAAGGCGCCGCCAAAAGGCCGCAGGAGGAGCGGGGCTTCTTCTCAGGCTCCATGAAAATCTCTAGGTCTTCATTCGAGTTTCTGACACAGGAACCGTTTTTTTGAGCTTGGCGACGGACACTTTCACGGCAGTATCCCAATACTACTACCCCCACATTCCCTCACTATCGCACGCTGTCAACGTTCCTGGCCAGCAAAGATCGGGCTGTTTCACGAGATCGGGCCGTCACTTGATCCACCGTTTCGTCACCGTGACGAAAGGTCGAACGTGGACTTTCGGAAACCTTCGCTGGGAAGAGTAGGTAGGCTGTCTATGCTGTCGGCTGTCGCGCGGAATCGTTTGGCATTACTCTTGAAGTTCTTCAGCTTTAACACAACATAGGTTAGAAAAACGGAGAAAAACATCTCTAGATGCGAATTTCAAGATGACGGAATTTTATCTATCGCGTCGGCCTACGCTGAGTGCGAGCGTCGTGCGGCCGGAGACATAGCGGGAAAAGAGAGCAACAAACTGTCCTCACAAGCACAGGATGTTGGCATCATTCGACATAGGCCTTCTTTTCTCCAGGAGCCGTCATGGAGCTTTGGGAGAATGCAAAAAAAGGGTCCTGTGGCAAGGTTGCTAGCCAAAAATTGATGATGGGCCAAGTGCAAGCACAAAATCAAAACAAGAGGTCGAAACCTGAAGCATCTTCTGTTTGATTATATAGTGATATAGTGTGTTAATACAGTAATTACGGCAAACGGTAAACAGTCAACTACGCCAGACATACTAAGAAATCACAAGATATCACAAGCGACTTAAAACATGCATCCACCTTTTTCATGCCTACCACGCATCCATTCCAGCACTCAAACCAGCGCAAAATGATCAAAATGACTGGCAGTCCCCCACACTTGCCACTGTTCGCCAGGCTGGTCTACCAGAATTGGGCACGCACTCAAGAAGCCAGGTGGACCACGGAACACTCTAAGCACGGAGAGAGTTTGCTTGGGACGGAGGATTCCCACTCCGTGTCGCGGAATTTCCCGCGCGTGTAGAACCCCTTGGGTGTCGCAAAGAGAGCTGCTCTGAAGAGAGGAGGACGACCACATTTGATGATCGGGAGATGATCACCAGATCAGATCTCCGACGAGTCTCGCGGTCTCGCGGCCTCGCTTTCTCCGTTGCGTTGCGCCCGTCTTGGGTGCCAGACCGGCTCATTCCGTCCAGCCACGGGAGGTACACTTTACGAACAGCCTTTTGTGAGACAAAATACCAAAATGGTCGAACCAAACTTGGGGTCACCCCAGGTAAAAAGCTTCAGTTGTATCCAGTGGTTCTGTTTTGGCGTAAGCAAGGGCAATCCCAGGTCCAGGTAAGTGTTGATTGGCTCCCCCAAAATCAAGCCGCATCACAACAACTTGCACTCGTTTGCAACACTTGCTAGCCCTTGCAGCAACAAGAGCACAAGACCCCAAATAGCATCCGCACCGGCGTCCATGAAGGACATGGAACGACATTTGCGCATGCACGATGTCGTTGTCTACGACATCACAACCACACATCGTGACCACCGAAACCGGCACCTAAAACTGCAGCTGAGCAGTTGGTTTCGGCCGAACACGGACACCGGCGGGTCACGCGGCACAGACTGAACGCTCCGGTCGGAAAAGGTGCTTTCCGCCCGTGTTCCGCGACGGTAAACGTGTGTTTCTCTGTCAGACTTGGATCGAGCGAGGGCTGTCTGGAGGAATAGTGAAACCCAGAAATGCTAGCTGCTAGAATGTCAAATTGAACCTTTTTCAGCTATCCTCGTCAAATCAAGTTATAATTATGAATGCTGCATAACTAACTGCATAACGGTAGGTGCTGGCAATCACCTTGCAGGGGCAAACGTCAAAATGATGTACTTGAGATAGCTTGCAATAAGATCCGACCATATAGTACTAGTACCCCAACAAAGCATGCAAAAAGATGCAACAAAACAACATCTACAGGACCAATTGGCGTGGGATTGTCTCCGCCTGACGTTTGGAAGCCCGCTCGAACACCGCGAGCTTGCACAAGCGCGGGGGCGTCGCTGGCGGTCGGACGGGGGACGAGGGACCGGGGGGGAAGGCCATGCGGCGCCCGCTGCGCTGCTGCGCTGCCACGGGGCCAGGGAGCGGACGATTTCAAGCCGATCTGATCGAAGACAAGGCCACAAGGCCGCATGGAATGTTTCCATGACAGCAAGAATCATGGCGAAAAGAACTTCAGTCTGATGCACGTCTAGGCTCTTCTGTTGGGCTCTTCTATTGACATGACCAGGGCAAAGCGGACTGGGGGCTGACCCGACAGGTCAAAACAGTGTGGGATGGGGGTCAGACAATGATTCGTTCTGCCGCAATGCTCCGTGGAGGGATTCGCAGCTGGAAAAGTTGGCAGAGGCGTGATCGAAAGCCACAACAACCACAAACGGTTTGATCTCCACTCGAGAACCTGCTTCACGAAGCACACCACTGGAAATGTCAATTGATTGTGAGTCAGGATTGTATAATTAATCATGCAACATCAAGCTTAACTGCTCAACTTTTCAGTTTGACTTTTTGCCCATGTCCAGCATTCACTTGGCGTTTGCGCAACAAGTTCAAGGGCACATTGAATGTGTTCTTCCGCGAGGGACTCAAGCGGCACGATCGAAAGTGGCCCGATGGCCGTAACGCTCCTTTTGCTCAATCAATGCGACGTGGCAGCATCTCCCAGAAGATGGTGCGGCTCATTAACCTGTACACTGCCATTTCCCAGAAGCACCTCTGGCAGGCCTAGCTAGGCCATCACTGGCCGCTTCCCCCGTCACCGACGATCTTCAGGATCGCACATGCGCTGACTTTGGCGCAGGACTCTTGGCCTTCTCTTTGGATGTCCAAGACAAAAGGCAAAAGGCTAGCAAAGAGGAAGGCTAGCAAAAGACAAAAGGCAAAAGGCTAGCTTTGGAAGACTCTTGGCCTCTTGCTTCTCTTTGGAAGTCTGCTAGACTCCTAGACTTCAAGTAAAAGGACCAACAGGCCCATCCTACTGGCCGCCTTACACTGCACCATCACTTTCGCTGCTCTCCGAGTCCTGCCAGCGGTACGGCCGTATGGCACACCGTACGGCTGCTCCGGTGGAAGGAAGGGTTCGTTGGCTCGCAGCTCGTCCAGCCACGCTGGTAAAGGCAAGGGATCCCGGGATCCTCAACTCCCAAAAAGGATCCTCAACTCCCAAAGGTAAAGCCGCCATGTGTCTTACTGTATTAGTTCTTGTTTCTTGGTCGTCCAAAGCCCGCGAGACCGGCGCGCCCGCGTGCGCGCGCGGATGCTCGTAGCGTGTCCTGGGCAATGCGCATGCGCTCGAAGCGTGGATGTCCCAGCGGACGCTTGCAACACTTCTCGCAGAGCAAGACCTCGACGTCCGGCGACGTCCGGCGCGGCCCCGTTCACCGGGAGAAGGAACGCATAGACCCCAGGCATGGACCCCAAACGGTTTTATCGTTGTTCTTTTTCAGGGTCAACTGCTTGAACCCCAACAGTCAACTGTTGAACTGTTTGCTGGATGCATGCTGGATGAACGTACTTGCAGTTCGGCGCACCATGACCCACGATGTCCTAATTGAGATTCACAACCATCAACCACCCCGGGAAAAGAAGTCAATACGCTGGCTCGAGGGAATTTCTTTGACGAGATGGTTGATTGTTGTATGATTGGGTTGATTGATTTGTGTCGCGTATCAACCACCCAACCACTCACCCATGGTATATATATATCATTATATATATATACATATATATATATTACTGTATATATATATGTGTAATCCTGGTCTTGTCCTGGGTTGTTCTATGAAGATTGTGCTATGACCTTGGCGCCCGGCGATCAGAGCAAGAACCCAGCACGAAGCACTGGCATACAAAAGAAAGCGGCCTCAGGACGCCGATGAACACCACGCCTTTTTGAACGAAGCAAGGACGCCGAAATCTGTATCAAGATGGGTGACCTTTCTGCGAGGAAAAACGCCCACAAGATCTCACAAGTGTGGCACGTTTACGTCAAACGAATGATCGGAGGGGTTTTGGAGTGGTTCTTGCGATTCTTGCTTTCCAAGGGAGTTATCACATTGGGTGATCACATCAAGGCCTGAAGAGGCACCATCTTCCACACTTGCCACGTTTCACCCAACAGGCTGAGGCACTGGCTGAGCGCATGTGAGCTTCCCCCGATAGGGCTTGGACTTAGGAGGACCTCGCAATCTTCTTGCACCAAAGTGCAAAGTCGCCAACTCCATGGCCCAAACACTTCACAGGACTGGCATATTTACCAACATTGGGGTGGTTCAACAGGGGTCAATGTAGGCTTATATTCTATCATGTTCACACCACAGTAGTAAACCACAAGTCAACAACAACCTCAAGCCACTCCGGGCCTCTAAATCCATACAACAATCAACTACTGTCAATAATAAACCTGATTTTTCAGTACACTAAAAATAAAGAACGAGTCAATTCAAAGTATAAACCCAATGTTCTTTAAAAAAAAAGAAGTAACACAACTAATAAACTAAACAGTCCATGATCCATATAAAGTCTGGGTTTGGATCAGTCTAGGTGATGGTATACTTACATGTTTGTTACAGGGCTTCTTGTAAATCTCAACCTCTATAGTACCCCCCCCGTCATGGGGAAGGACTATCTCAGGCGCATCATGGAGCGGAGCGCAAGTTATGTGTGGATCAGCTGAAGGCCGTCATAGGCCGTCAGGGCCCGTCCAAGGCCCCCCTTGAGCGCCCCTGCGAGCTCCTTCTCCACATCGATGGTCGACGCGGGAAATCTGGTCGCGCGGCAGATCTTCCACGTGGCAGGCGACCCGTGGCAGGCTGGGTCGAAGTCTCCCAGAGAGGTTGAGTGACCAAAGAACTAGGAACCGGTCCACCTGGAGTACCTATGGACCTATGGGATAGTCGAACTAGGGTTTTTCTAACCTCTGTTGAACTCCAAAAAAACAATTGAACAGATGAGTTTCAGCGTCTTCCACTTGAGCAGACTTGCAAACCCACCCGACACATCAGCAGAACGCCCTGCGCGAGGCCCTGCGGGCCTGAGGCCTATCTCAACCAGGATGGTCTCACCCTTGCTGAGGGGCTCCTAGGTGCTGTCGGTCCAAAGAAAATGAGCGCTGCGAACCTTTAGGCGTGGCCAAACACCAGGTATAACAACGGAGGAAGAAAGAAAAGCATAGTTTTGGTCAAGCACTGTCATTCCCTCCCCTTGGTTCATACAAGTCCAGTCCCACCAACTTGGGGCAATATCTGAAGGCCTTGCTTGGTCGCCTTGCTGGCTCCCAGAAACCTTATCACCATTCATACAAATTCCCTACAGATTCACCGCCATTGTTGGGATCCACCCGATGTCCAAAAAAAGACTCCTTCCAGGACCGCACGAGCGCCGGCCCCAGTCAGTGTTTCGTTCAGCGCAGCACGGTATGGGCGCCGTTCTCCCCCGGGTCTCTGGGGATCTCCACGTCCAGCTGGCCGATACGCTTCAGCACGCTCGGTAAGGCGGATGGCCTGGGGCGAAACGGTCGGGAAGTGGCCGGGGCCCCCCCGGGGACCGGACGGGACGGCCAGCGGACGTCCTCGAAACGGAAGGAGCCTCCCCAGAAGTTCCGTTTTGACGCAGTTGATTCCACCGGTAGTCAATCCATCCACCACTACCATAGAGGGGCAACATGAGTCATGACTGGACTCTCGGCGGAAAAACCGGGGACGGACATGTTTGCCATTCGTCTTCGTCATGGTTCGTGCTCTCCGAATTTTTAGACCCTGAGATCGATCCATCCTGGCCTCATCCATTCGGCAAAGCGCTGGTTCTTGACCCCTTCGGCCAACGAGATGACCTCATTCGGCAACTTGGCTTCCGGGCGGCAGCATTCCAGCCAACTTGCTAGCACGAGTTTGAACATGAAGAAATGCATGCAGCTGAACATCCAACATCATCCAACATCCACTCATCCACTCCATCCTCATTATCTTAGCCCATGTTCTTGCTCTCCAGGCCTCTGGGTAGCGCATGAAGAGCCATTCCTTCATGGAAAATGATGGTTTGAAATCGAACATTGAAATGGCAGCAAAACTGATCGCATTCTCATCCAAGGCTGAAGGCAGGTGTCCTAGGATGTCCTAGGGGTAGATCTTTAGGGTGCAAATGTTATTGTCATGCAGCTCAAGCTTTCAGCTTGGGTGTCAATCTATGGATTTTCTTATGTACAGGAAATCTGACATGTCTTAGCTGGATGTTTCAACATCTAAGAAAACACCGCCCCAGCTAAGGCTGGCTCCATATCCTCACCATTTGGATAGCCCGGAGGATTTCGCATCCTGCCGACTGACTGAGCCTTGTGAGCTTTGAACAAATCCAGAATATGCTTTTGCAGCAGATCTGCGAAGATGCCCCAACACCTCCAGAGAATCCCCAACCTTTTGAATGGGGTTGCAGGACGCATTATGGGTGTTTAACTCCCATTTAGCCAAGCACAGACTCATCACACACACACACACACCAAAATGAACACCACCAAAACCTGCAACAAACGCATCGCGTGTGGGACGAGAAGATGTCCTCTTCAGGTCGTCTTCTCGAGCCACAGAACTCTCATTGATGAAGAGTTCCTTGAGATCCTTAGCCCGTCTCAGCCTCGGCGAGCGCCGGGCTGAGCGGCTCCGCGCGAGGGAGGTGCGCGAGGGAAGTCGAGCACGACGGACCCCTTTTGGAAAGGCGCAGGTGGGCTGAAGGTTCAAAAGCAAAACGAACGGATGATTCGACGAAGAGAGCGAATGGAGGTCAAGCACATCAAGGTTCTGTGTGAAAGCTCCCCCAGCGGGTCGAGGACCTGATTTCACTGGGTTGGGTCATACAAATCGTATGAAAACAGTACTCAATGAGGTCAAGGACCAGACCCGGTTGTGTAGTCAAAATAATCAAATTCCCTATGTAAACAACAGCTGCTCTAAATCAATGGTGGTTGGAATTCTGGGCGTCAGTTATATGTATACATATATGTAAAGTAAATATATATATATATATACAGGGGACGAAAGCCAGCCCCAGAAAACATCAATGTGGTTATGGGGTGAACTCGACGGCGCACTGGAACTGCTGTCAGGCATCGGGAAATAGAAGGCAAAGGCGGAAAGTCTCGCATTGAGGGACGATATGACAGGGCGATATACAGGCCCTGTAATCACAAGGTTTCGATCAAGGCCCATTAGCTGTTATAGGATAGAGGTGGAGCCCATGCGTTAGGAAAAAAAGTTGAGCTGAGCGAAGGCCAAGCACCTTTCCACTAGAAACATAATGGCTTGTCACTTGCGTCGTCACTTTTTTGAGAGCTCAACGTTGAGGCTTGGGAAGCCCTTTGATGATTTTTTCCGGCGTTTTCTGCCTTCTCCTCTCCTGCCTCTGCAACTCCCGATCGCAGTCGGCTCCGTGATTTTCGGTGGTCGCTCGCCTTTTTTTCTGGCCACTTGTGCTTCGCGGCGCGAAGCGCGAGTGAAACTCTCGGAGCGCAAGTCACCATAGCATTTGTGCTGTTGGTTCCTCACTTGTGCTTCGTGCCCGCGGCGCGAAGCGCAAGTGAGGCTGAAGCCTGGTACTGGGAGAAATGAAATGACCGGCCGGGTTGAATAGAGAAATGAAAGGATGGACAGAAGTTTAACAGAGAAGTCAAAAGACAGACTGGGTTAAATAGAGAAATGAAATGACGGACCGGGTTTGAGTAGAGAAATGAAGTGACGGACGGGCCGGGTTTAATAGAGAGATGAAGTGACGGACCGGAATCATGTAATAAAGAAATGAAATGACGGACCGAATTGAATAGAGAAATGAAATGACGGACCGGGTTTAATAGAGAATGAAATGACGGACCGGGCCTAATACAGAAACGCAATGACGGACAAAGTTTAATAGAGAAAGGAAACTGGGTTTAATACAGAAATGTAGCGACGGACCAGGTCCCATAGAGGCGTGAACTGACGGGCCGGAGTTAATAGAGAAATGAAGTGACGGACCGAGCTCAATAGAGAAGTGAAATGGCGGACCGGGATTAGTAGAGAAATGAAATGACGGACCGGGTTAGCAAGACATTAAAAGGGGCACCCCCAAGCAACTCAAAGCTTGCCGAATGCATTCTGTTCCCTCTCCTGTCCTCAACGGGTGACATCGCTTCTTGCGTTCCCTTCCACTCTTGTTAATCACCTGGACGAACAGGTATGGAACAAGCTACCAACGCCGCTGCTCAACAACAACAACAACAACAACAACACTCTTGTTAACCACAAGAAAACAGAGCGTTGAGAGACGCACATCTCACTTTCCTGGTGGATTTCCGACCGTTTTTCCTGTCACATTGTGCCCCCTTTCCAATTACAGCTCTGCTACCCAAACTGGCCAGCTAGGTAACCACCCCCCACCACCCCCTATGCTCACTTCGTTCGCCCATCGACAACTCCAGCCTAGCCTATCAGCTGGCTTTCGTCAAAACATCATGAATCCCAAAGTGTTTGAAGTTCTCGCGTTATTCTCCTGGGCCACACACTTGAAGGTATCGTTGAAGAAGCTCCCAGCCTTCCATGCGCTTCGAGAGTCCCGGAGTCCCTTTGCTTGTAGTAGATCATGCAACTGAAGTCATCAACTCCCTGGATCTCCAGAATGTGTTTACCAGCCTTTGGGGGTTGATTCATCCACCGTTTACATGAGATGGTAACGAAAAAGGGTTCGCCCTTCGAGCTTCGAACAAACATCGTTTTGGACGCTCCGGTGTTCGACACAGCCTGCAAGCCACAAGGGAAAAAGCTCCCATGAGCAGATTCTCGGGTGGCCGTCACGGGGCAATGCCTGAATGGGTGACGAATGCACCGTACGCGTATTTGGCTCGCAAAAGGAATGCCAAAATTAAAGGTTGCAAAGGATGATTTGTCAGTTCAACTGATCAACTGTGATTTGGTTCCAACGGATTTGCCATCTTGAGTTCAGCAAACACGTCGACCAAATCTAAATGATCCAACACTCCTTTTGAGCTGGTCGGACAACTGCATTTTCTTCACGTTCCTTTCCTTACTGGGCAGCCCTGGCTTTCTCAGCTCGTCTCCACTTAGGATCTTGCCTCAACTGCTCAAACTAACTAACGCAGCAGCTGTTCAATTGTGTCCTTTTGCAGTTTGATCAAGTTTGAAGTTGTCGGTGCCTGTCAACTGTGGCCAGGCGCCCTTCCGGCTGCCTGGCGCTGGGTTCCAGCTGGAGAAGGTAATGGACATTAAAGGTTACAAGCTCATACCCTCCGTCCTGCCTAAGCACACGTTTTCTTCCATGTCCTCTTGGACGGAAGAAGCTTCTTCTAGCGCTGCTTTCTTCTTCTTCTTCTTCTTCTTTCTGCTTCTTTCTTCTTTGTCCTGTTTGTTTCTCTTGTTTATGCCTTCTTCTTCTGTTTCTTATTCCGTTTGTTCTTCATGTTGCTTCTTCTTCTTACTCTTATTCTTGTTCTTGTTCCTGCTCCTTTCTTCTGTCTGCTTCTTGTTTCCTGGTTGCTTATCTATCTTGATTCTTCTTGGTTCGTCTTAGTTTTTGTGATTTTCTCTGCTCTTGTATGTGTCTTTCTTTTTCTGTCTGCTTCCTTCTTCTTTCTCATGCATGCGTATGTTGCGTCTTTTTGCTACGTTTTATTGTTGTGTTTCTTCTCTTTGCTGCGTCTTCTTCATTCTGTCGTTGCTTCTCCTTCTTCTGCTTCCTTCTTTCAGCTTCCGTCTTCTTCTTTTCCTGCTTGGTATTTATCTTGCTTCTGCCTTCTTCTTCATCTTGTTCCTGCGCCTTTGTTCTTTCTGCTTCTTATTTTTTCTGTGTGCTTGTCTCCTTCTTCTGCGTTCATCATTTTTTCTGTGCATTGGTTCTTCTAGCTCTGCCTTCTTCTTCTTCTTCCTCTTCCTCTTCTTCTTCTTCTTCTTCTTCAACTTCTTCTTCTTCTTCTTTGTTCAGTTCTCTGCTTGAATATCACCGTTTTCCCATGTTTTCCCTCTTGGCCTGATTGGATGTAGTTCGGGTAGTTTTGGTAGAACCTCACAGGACGCCGTGTTCGCCACCCGCCAAAGTGCCCGACTGCGCGCGTGCAAGTCAAGAGATTCCATCGCGGCAGCGCGGATGAATCGGTCGGGTCACGGATCCAAGTGGTACATCACGTGAATCGGAGCTGGCATGTCCTCAAGGCTCATGTCTCACATCCATACGAGCGATGTGGCTAAACGGGGGGGTTCCGTGGACTGGGTCATTCAGCGGGCTGGCATTCTGGGTCATTCCAGACTCTCAGATTTGCATGCAAATGATGCATATCCAGACCAGGATCACCAAAGAAGCATACTTGACACGCTTTCCGTCCAAGAGGACATGGAAGAAAAAACAAAGGAGAAACAGCTTCCCACAAAAGGCCTTGGTGTCGATCCATGAGCGTTGTTGAGATGTGCGTTTTGAATTGTCTGGGGTATGTTTTGACATGAGTATCCAGCAGCTCCCGCGCGTCCTCGGGCACCAGCAGCTCCAAGGTGCAGACTTCCGCTTGGCACGGTGCCGGGAGCACCTTCCGCCCAGCTTCTGCGAAGGGCACTGAGCTGTGTCTCTCCAAGCTGTAGTGGATGGACACCTCTGAGCTGCTGTGGGCTCAAGCACCGTTGAAGAAAAGAATTGATTCGTTCCTGTTTGATGTCTGAAAAGAGCTGGACAGTTGATGCACGTCAGATCGATCTCCCAAGACATCCCTCAAGACATACCTGTTCTCTTCAAACCGATCCACTGGGACACTCAACACCCGGAGCGAGACTTTCACTCTCGAAGACGGCGGAAGAGACTGCAGCAAGACTGCAACGCGACGATGCTTTTTTTGGTAGATAGCAAAGCCCCCCAAGGAGTGGTGACATTGATCGTCATTGACCTACATATATATATATATATGTGTATGTACGCTAGCCCCCCCAAGACCTACCTTTTATGTGTTTGACCAGATGTGGACCATTTGAAATGCGTTCTTTGTTAAGATGTTTGTTAGTATTCTTGGTAGGATGGAAAATTAGCATTTAGATAGTCTATTGTTTGCTGGTGTTGTTTTGTTTGTTCTTGACCTTTCAGTTTTAGTTGATGTGTTTGATTCTCTTCATGTCCTTTAATTGTATATTTACCCACTAAACATTTACAAACAGGACATTCAATTTTTAATCTGTTGTATTGTTTCTGTTTCTCTTGTATCTGTTCCTTGTTCTGTTCATAGCATTGTTTCTTTTTATCTTTGACTTCTTCTTTGTGGTCTTCACGATACTGTTTCTTCTTTTCAAGAATTGTATCTCTTTTTTGTTCTCTGTATTCTTTACATATGGCAAGTATGTGTTTTTTGTTCTTTTCATAAATATATTTTGCTGTTTGCCTTAATTCCTCTCTGTGATTTTCTCTATATTTCTTTTTCTCTTCAAGACATTTAATACATAATGCCTTTCCTCCATCAAAGTTTTCTATTGTTTTTCCTTTTTACATTTTGAACATGTTTATATATTATCACTCATCAGCTTAATATATTATAGGGTTATTTCTTTATATCTATTTTTGGGGTTAATAGTTCATAATATGTTTTGTTTCGATATCATAAATTAATCATCACTCTCACTATCAGGTTCTGGTTCTTCATCATTTTCTTCGGTAATTATTTTAAACTGTTCCTTTGCCAGTTTCAGTTTATCTTGTTCAATCTTATTGAAAGTTTCTCTTTCCTACTACACTGACCACACACATCAACATATTGTTGATACTGATGGAAAACTTTAAATCTACTAATAAGAATTCCTCGTTCATCACGTGTTCTTTGTTATCCTATCACATATGACTTTACACCCACAATTCATAGAAGTCATGTTCACTTAATAATATATAACAATATTGCTTTAAGTATCTTTTTAGGGTAATTAAACATTATTATCTAATTCTATTATAATGCTATTGACAAAGGAACTTATTATAAGCAATGTATATTATGATGTTGAGGAAGGGTTCGGGAGGGTTCAATCCATATACAAAAGGGCGAAGGAAAAAGACCCTTCAATAACTTTGGATGATGTAAAAAGGTTTATGACCAAACAGCCTAACCAACAGATAAAAGGATATAGGGGTTCAAACTCATACACAGCACCTTTTGCCAGATTTGAATATCAAATTGATATAATGGTCATGGCTCCACTTGTAAAAAATCCAGAGGTCAAAATAGAACCACCCAAAAAACAACCAAAATACGCATTGGTTGTTATTGACATATTTAGTAAGCTGGCTAATGTAGTGCCTACGAAGGAAAACAATTCAGAAAGTGTTTTAGATGCTTGAAACAATCATTTAAGAAAAAGGATTCTCCAATATCTATTTATAGTGACAATGATGGTGCTTTTCAATCAGTAGTAAAAGAGTTTTTAAAGAATGAAGGCATACAACATATCATAACATCAACTCATGCAAATGTTGCCGAGAGATTTATTAGAACCATGAAGAATATGATACATGACCGTGTTAGATTTAACAAGGCAAATTAGACAGATATGTTGATACCAGCTTTGAACAAATACAACAACACAAAGCACTCATCAACAGGAATGACACCAAAACAGGCACACAAGGATGATAAGACAGTAAATGCAAGAGTGAACTTGACAATCAAGGAAAAGAACACGAGAAAATATCCAAACATCAATGTAGGTGATGATGTTAAGATATACCAAAATAATAGAGGCAATTATACTGACAGAAAAGAATACACCAGCAAATGGAGCACAAAAACTTATGAAGTATTAGAAGCAAAACGTGACATGACAGGAAATAAAACATACATACTTAGAGGTTTAACTAAACCATATTTGAGACATGAAATACTATTGACATGATAAAAAGATTTCATAAATCAACTCACTCGGTATTATCCTAAAATCTAAAATCCTAAGATTTCAGCACTTGTCGTTGCGCAACAAACTAAAATCATAAAATCCTAAGGTTTCCCGACTACAACAATGAAGTCAAGGTTTGGACTACTGCTGAAATCTTAGGATTTTAGGATTTTAGTTTGTTGCGCAACATGTTGCGCAACTTTTGTTTGTATTATCATCTGGTTTCCACCCAAAAGGTCTTCATTGACCACTGTTTCCGTTCTTATTGTGTCAATATATATATATATGTGGCACCCCCATAATCCCTTCAACCAAAAAATGATCTAAAACTTGTACCCAAAAATCAATGTCAAAATGTGCATAATTCACCGTAAATACCGCTGAAAAGTACAAAAGGGTAGGTCCCGGGGGGGGGTACCATATATATGTATATATATCACCACGCGCACCAGGATCACTCGCGAGACGAGCCCGGTGATGTACTAGGCTCACAGACCTATGTACACAAAATGCACCCCAAAGAAGGTTTAACCTTCACCATGAAGAGCGACCTACAGCAGGGAGACATCCCAAGACGCCAAGGTACGTCCGGCCCCACATTCGAAAACTTTGGCCAGGTGCACCAAGGCGTCATTGCCAGCAAACATCGCAGCACCAACAATTGAGCCCTGAGGCATCGTACGACCAGCTGCCTTTGCAAGAGGAGCAGAGATGGTTCCGGGAACAACCTGCACTTCTGCAGAACGGTCAAGCAGAACAATCGCACGTCGGATCTTCTTGTGATAATCCAAATATGTCGGACTCAAGCCTTGATCTTCGAAAGCATACCCCGAATGATGAAACAATGTTGTCAATTCGCAGAACGATGTAACCTCTGTGTCATCAACCTTCCAGCGCAAGTTGCGGAGAAAGGTGCAAACAACTTTCCATTCGTGCGGAGAGCCCTCCCATGATGAAGGCTTCTGAAAGCCTGTCGGGATTTTGGGTTTCCACGTAAACAAACGGCTGTCAGCGTTCCAACTCCATTGAGGAAAAAGTTCTCTATAGTGCTCCATGTCAAGTTCTAGCTCATGCTCGGGCAAATCGACTGTCAGCGAGGGACATGTTGTGGGGAGAAGCTCGTGCAAAGTAGCTAGCCATTTGTGGTGTTGCAAAGCAGCACGGTCCGCTTCATGTTGCATCTGCGGATGGACAGCAGAGAGGGTGGAGGTCAATTCCTTGGCAGTAAGATCTGCTATGCGGTTGCGCTCGATGTTCCGCACTGTAGTGTGTTTGCTTGCAGCCATTGCGAGAGTGACATTGGCTATGGGCAAGTGTTCAAAGCAGTGAGCCGGGATCCAAGTGACTTGAAAAGGACACGGATGCAATCGCTTCCGCGTCCGAGTCAACTCACATAAGCAGCGCCACCAATCCTGGCACATCCAAGACTCATCAGCAGTTCCATGGAGAAAAACCTGTGTGGCATGGTTGACAACAGTCTGATTGTCACAATAGGTGTGAACACGGAAGGGCGTCAACAAACAAGCCTGCAACAGACCCCATAGCTCGGCAACAGACGAGTTGAGCGCAGGGTAGTTGACAATGCCTTTTTTGCAAACCTGTAAATCGTCGTCAACCACCGCAAAAGTGGCGATCGTAAGCCAAAAACGGTCTGCCCAAAGCACTGATGCATCTGTCCAAAACTCAACCAGTTGATCAAACTGGAAAGGCTGAAACACTGATGGCGGAATTGAGCATAGCAGCCGTCTTCGTGCCAAAAACCACGGTTGCTCCAGAATCCCCATCAAAGCAAAATTACTGCCAAGCTCGTGCAAAGTAGGCTTGCCAATCAACGAATGAAGTGCTGTGCAATCATAGACAAGGTGGGACATGCATTCCTTAGCTTGAGAGCAAAATCTGCATTGCGAGGAATCAACCCAGCCGGCAGCTGACAATCGGTCATTGGTCAACACACAGCCCACAACGACGGAGTGAAAACGTCGAGCCGGTGTAATGGTGGAGCCGGCGCTAACAGTTTCATCCAACAACAACCGCGTGGTGGTGCGGAAGTCAAGTAGGCCTTGAGGTTGAACAAAATCCTTACGTGTATGGAAGTCAACATTCTGATAGGCCGCTTGCTTAGCAAGTTGGACAAGCAAAGGCTTAAGTTCACGTGGTTGGAGCTTCTCCAAAGCAAATGGTTGGGAGCCGTGAAAAGAGAGCCCAAGGTCCGGGGTGATGTCAACCCTCAAAACAGAACACGCATGTTGCAATCGACGCCATAGTGAGTGAGGCTGCATGAATGCATTAGTTTGCGTTCGCTGAATGAGGGGAACAAGCGCAGGCGTCTTTTGACAACAACGAACAAACTCACAAATCGTGGTGACCGCACAAGCAATTTCAGGGTCGGTCCGGTGGGGTTGCCCATGAATAGCTTGGACCAACCATTTGGCTCTCCATTTAGGTTTACCATTCCACATAGCTCGAATAATGGCATTTTGAATCTGGCCCAGTTCCCGTTTGGGAATTTGAGTGACGTGTGATCCAAAGGAAATACGAGCAATGATCTTGGCACCAAAGAGGAGGTTTTTGACCTTTCCAGGGATGTGCAAGGCTCCGATGCCCGCGATGTCGGCCAAAATTTGTTTATGCACCCCCAAGTCGTACTGAAACGCCTTTCGGGAACAAGTATACATTTTGGTACCCAACACTTCGAACTCAAGTTTGACGGGAAAGTGCGGGAACAAGGCAC